ATCATGTCCTCTTTGAAATTTAGGTTCTTCACCAGCATGGACCTAGCTCAGATGACATCAGTTCCAAGTGGCCTGTGATTGGTCAGTTTTCTAGCATAGGTTCCCTTGGGAATGACAAGGACCGTTGGCTGTGTTCTGAGTGGTTACAAAGCTTGTCCACCTGTGCTGGTAACATGATGTCCAGTCCCCCTCTACATCTGGTCAGTATGAGTATCTATCTCCGATAGGGATGATTAGCTCAACACTGATTTGCAATTTCTTTTTCTCATCGATGTATTACAAATAGTTTGTGTTTTCAATTTGTAGGTATTTCCCACTGTGGACAATGTACGGCACAGTTTCGAAGGTTACCCAGGTATTTTTTATCACTAAAATTAAATTGTGGAAGCAGATTGGTGGTCAGGGTGTTGACCTTGGTTGCTGACCCTACAATTGGTCCCTGCATTTAATGCCATACTTTTAGTGGTTCAAGTTCATTTCTAAGTGTGATGTCTGATTATTCTGACCTCCTCTCTAGCTGGTGGCTCAATACCATACAGCTCCAAGACAGCTTTGAAACAGCCTTATCTTCCAAGTTTCTTTTGGTAAGTCATCCTTAATTTGTTTTCGGATTAAATGGGTTTTTATATACCGAGTTAGCTTTGCTCCAGTTCACGTGGCATAAAATCCATTAGAGCAGCATTGCAATTTTGCTCTCCACCACCCCTCCTGAATTTGAGGAAAATCTGTAAACCTTAGAGAGTCTTTAATTTGGTGGGTGGTACTTCATCAGAATACATTTCTGTGGAGGGAGATTAACTTGTCTAATGTCAGGGAGCCTAGGCAGGAAAAGACCCAAAAATGGCTATTAATTTTTTTCTGCTTCTTTTTTGATTTGGGCCAAACTTGAGCATCAGTTTAAAAATGTATGAAAAAATATTACATCTGAGGAATCTCTGTTTCACCAATGTCATAGTTTCATAGGAAATTACAACTAGATAGCTGTATTTTGTTCCCCCTTTCCACATTGCTTTGCAAATCTGGTGTATTTTGCATTTTTCCCATTTCTTAAGCTCGTGGAAGTCTCTTTCCTGTGGTAGAAGTCGCGCCTCTCCTCACATTAAAACATACACTAGGACATCCCCAGATTGGAGGCGACTGAGCTGGTTTCTTATGACAAGGTGAATTAAAAACTGAATCCTCTCTGGAATTTATGCTGGTGTAGAAATTCTGGATAATTATATGGGAATAAAACAAGTGGTGAAGTTGTGCCTTATGCATTATTATGTTTGGTGCTGTTTAAAGGTTATTTGACAGATGATTAAGGAATCTCCTCAGGTAATTGCATTAATTTTTTTTCTAACTGATATGAAAGCAAGAGTCCAAAGATCATTGGCTTTCCTTTCAGAACCTCTTGGGTTTACCTTTGAGGTGTTCATAGTCTTTTGGATCAGGCTGTTTCTGATTGATCAAAACAAAACTTTAATTAATTCTTTAGTGTCAAAGAGGCAATCTTTCAACAATGGAAGCA